TTACTTTGGGCATATATGATACTCCTTCAAGAATATTGTCCATGTGGAACAAGAGATGGTTCACAAGTTACGCACTTGTTGAGATGAAAATGATGAATATAAACAAACAAAAAAGTATGAAGGATGACATGTATAACTTTATACGCATCATTGTGGGCAGATCCTACTCTGCCCAGATCCGTTTTCTTGCACAGTCGTATATGTCAAATATTCAGTTACATTGTGAGATTTATCTACTATAGAACTTTCATACCCATTTTGCCGAATCTACTTGCGGTTATGAAACGTATATATATTATAAGATCAACCTTCATTAAATGGGAAAGCTGTCATATATATCTAAATGCCGAGATAATATTAGTAAGCACTTTCTTTTCATTAAATAGGAAAAAACCATGAAAAAATAATCGTACAAATTCTTTTCTTTTCATAACAAGATGATATAAGCCATGAAAGTTAAAGTTTATCACAAGACGATCGGTTTTCGATATTTGCACTTTGTCTCGTGGGTGTAGATGAAGTAATTGAAGCTGGGCGGTAGCTTGGACGAGGCTGAGTGACTAGCGAGCCCGGATTTGGTGCCGTGGTGGTTGTTCCCTGGTACAGTTCACAGGCTATTAATTCTTCCATCATCCGAGACCTAGGACCGGAAGGTGTAAAGAACGATGCCGAAATTCGGTCATGCAGATCCCAAACACATCCTTGGAGGTCGTGTAGTGGTTAGAAGGGATTGTCAAGATTCCGTTAACCCTCTTGGTCGTGGTGACCCGGCATCGAATCGAAAAGCACACATTCTCGAGCTTATATTAGCCATGCACGCTCATTTTAGTTGCTCGGAAATGTCAAGGCGACTGCTGAAATGGATGAAGAGGGTTCAGTGTGCTCTTCATGCTATTCACTTTAGATTTGTAACCGGCCATAACAATCTCGTGGGATCTATGGTTCCTGTTACAAAACAAGGCCCCATTCCCTCCACATTGCCATAGATTGGGCCGTTAAATCAGGCTAGGCTGATAACCTCTCGGAAGATTAGTATATCTAAGAGAAGAAAAACACCAAAAGGGGTTCGATTGACTACCAAATTGGACGAAATGCCATCCATCTCGTCACTCTCCTAAATCTGTTCAGAAGATTAGATCTAAGTGCCTAGAGATGAACGACGTTTAGGGGGTCTTCTCAATAAATATTGCTGGTCAACCGTTATTAGGACGAGTACACAATACGGAATCGTAAGATTTTGAAGGACATACAGCGGAACATATTCCAAAGTCGAACTTCTTGATAGTTTCACAGGAATACTCCCCCTCCTGATATCGCGCAATTGTAAAACCATAATGCCTCTTACGTTGACGTCTAAATTTCTTTAAAGACAACGAATATTCGACGCTGGTCGTTCAAAGCTGCGTTTATGCTATCTGGACATTGAAGGATGAACATTGAAGGATGGAATCACTAAACATAATCATTTGCACCCAAGTCAAGCCCCATGGAATCAAAACTGCATCACTCAGAAGAAACTTAACGGTCGTAAAATATGAAGTGCCTGCACCAAGCAGGAGAATTTCTGAGTGTTTCCCGGGTGAACGGGTTTGCCAACTAAAAATTCCCTTTAAAACATATGCTCTGCAATTAATCATCCGAACGAGGTAAGAGGCTGAAAGTCAAATACAGAAATCTAGTAACCTATATTCAGCTTGGTGAGAAGACTTAAGCAAGTTTATTTTAAGATCCGACGATCTTCCTCGATGATATCTGAGTTCACAGTAACATGATTCCCATCAACATGAGCGTTGTACATCTATTAACATCGACGGAGAGACAAAGTGAGACCATCTCACTGTCCTGCGGCAAGAAGAGAAGAAATCGAGGAACACAGTCCCATGACATATCAGCTACTTGACGATTACACACTTCATTTCCAACCTTTCTTTGGAGATTCTGCAACATACATTGTACGCTGAGCTGTGAGATTCAGAAGTCAATATTGACTTATAAAACTGATGGACAGGGTATGCAAAGGTTGATTGATCCCTCTAGCACAGAAACAGTACTGTGATGCAAAATAAGGACCGGAGAGTAGAGTATTGCAGCAAGTATTGCATGTTGTCTGGGCGGAATTATCTGTGAAGGACGCATTGGTTGGAGAAGGGTTGTTCAGCGAAATGTATGTATCCCGACATCCATTCAGTCCAGAAGCCCAAGACATAGGACTCGAGAATGGCTTTCTCGGTGTTCCTCACCGAGTTCATTACGAGTGGGGATTCAGGAGTAACGAATCTCTCTGAATCCGACACCTGTTGAATCTCTATGAGGAACACATTCCGAAGAAATATAATGTAGGGAAAATTAGGCGGAAAGACGGAACTACTGTCTATCTTCATACAGCGTCATTTGCAAAATTCGCTGTGTTACATGTAAGACGGTTAAATGTCAGACAGGTTCATAAGCACAAGTTGATGAGTAGTAATGCGACCGCTGGGGAGGTCGAGGTTGCCGACGCCTGCCAAGAGAAGTCCCGAGCAAGAAGAGAGAAGGGTTAGACGATCTTTGTTGAGGCGAAACAGTCAGTTCATCCCCAGGTGTTTTGGTAAGGTCGGATGGAGTCAGCCGCAGTCCAAGAGCCAGTCTGGACTGGCAGAGCGCGCAGTTATAATACAAAGGACGAGATCTTTTGATCACCCCATAGGGTCAGTGCCTTTTACTTCTATTTCGGCCGATATTCTAATGAACTATTTGCCATAGGGTATGTCACCGAGTCGGCCCATGCGGGAAGCACTGTGAGTGCACCCACTGGACGCCCGACTTACCTTGTGAGGTAAGGAGGCGAGAAAGTACAGCTGAAGGTCCAGCTGCGGTTGTTCTTTTCAGGATCTCGAGCCCTCACAGGGACAGCACCAAAAGGCTCTGGATTCCGCCCCACGGGTCCCACGAACTGTGCCAATGGATCTCGTCTTCGGTCACGATCTTTACGGGCCGTAACGTCTTGACGGCCGAAACGGCGTCCGATGGACCGTGGCCCGCAACACGGTGCCCTCCTCGTCAGCAGTGAGCGCACGAACGGCCGGATGAAGTAGACTCCGCAGTTCCCAACGCTGACCGTCCGATAAGGATCTGACGGCGCTCCGAGAGCGCTCGGACGTGTGGAACTCCGTCGTCTGGCGACTCATCTTGTGGTTGTCCGCATCCGAGATAACGAACGGGGTGAACACGGGCATTTCGGTTCACGCAGTTTACCCCAATCGGCTGCGTGGTAAGTTCCCCACTCTCGCGCGCTGTAGGCGGGAATCCAAACTGCTTCGAGTAATTTTAGACATTTATGCTCCGGTTGGAAGTGGGTTGTGGAGCCACCATAGCTTCCATGGAGAGTTAGGATTATGCCCGATTCCTTCGTGACGACCATGTGACCGATCGCCCCTGCCTTGCTGGTTGACCAGGCACATCGAGAGGGAGTGCTCGAGAGTCGCCGAAATACACACATACATGCAACGCTATGCATACCAGAGGACACAGGCGCGAACCCGGGGGCTGACAAAAAAAAACACCGGATGTGAAGAAGAAGAGCTACTATCACAAGTTCTCTCGGGCAAACCTTCGGCTCGGGTCGTTGGGAATCCCTCGCAGGAAACGGACAAGAGCGTGAGCCCCGGAGATTTTAAAAAGAAAAAATTGACGATTAATGTTGTGCTGTCCTGCACCTACGTCGGATCGATCACAGCTAAAAGTTTCGATGAGAAATAAGCGGAAGCGTTGGGTAGAATTGTCGAGAATTTTCCCACAAGCAATGGAGAAAGGAATGGTGGACTGCGGAGACAAAGGGCTGTATTTGCGGACCCCCGCTACCGAGTTCGCTCTCGCGCGCGCAGATGGGCCAGAACGGAGCAAGTTGCGATCGCAAAGATGACCCTGGCTAACGCGGGGCGACCACGATGATGATATTCTGGAGACGTGCCTAATTTAGGAGACGTCCGATATCCATCTCACGGTGATCATGGCACGAGTGCATGGTTAAATTTAACCACGCGCATGGACGGAAGTCCGAGGCGTATGGGGCTACGGCTAAACTGACGGGGCAACTGTGACGGACGCACATCTTTACGCTAGGAATTTGGTGACGTCCGTGGAGAGCGATCTCGGCGGTCCAGCGACTACAGTTGCCCTGGCGGAGATAACGTTAATCTCTTCGTCTGTCCCACGGCCCCGAAGATGCCCAGCCTTGCACCGTGGGATGGCAGATCGACGGTCGCCGCGGCTAACCGAATGCGCATTTCACGGCAAATGAGTCGCGAAACTCCCTCCAATTTCAGCGGATTTAAATATTGGCCTTTCCATTTCAAAGAGCATCTTAAATAGCGGGGGCCGGGCCTGGTGAGGCCTGCCCCGACCCGGCCCGTCGTCCAGCCCGAACCGACGTACAGTGAGAGTACATGCGCTTGATCCTTCCAGGGCGATGAAGGATGGCGGGAAAGCCGACGGAGCCACATTTGCGGCTGTGGTTCCGAAGGCCGGCTTCCGTGCGTGCACTGACTGCAGTCACCGCAGTCACCGGATCGACGGAGTAGTTGGTTGGGTTTGTTGGAGGATTCCATTGCGGGGGCCGAGGACGGGGAGCGGGGAGAAATAGTGAGGGGAGGGGAGGGGAGGGGAGGTGCGAGGGAGGCCGAGGGGTACTTGACCGGCGCCCCTGAGAGATCCAGGAAGGGATGGGCAGGGGAGGGGGAGGGAGAAAAGAAGAGGAGGAAGAGGAGGGGGGCAGATAGATGATAGATAGACAGATAGATAGATAGACTGACGAGGGGAGCGAGCGAGCGAGGTAAGAAGTCGCGAGGCAGTCCGGTAGATTTGTGATTTTAACTGTGCTGTGGTCTGCTGCCGGTACACGGACCTGGCCGTGTGGTGGTGTTCGTTCGTGGGAAGCATCATCACAGCAGCATTAGCATAGTTCTGTAATTGGGCGGCGAGGGATTTAGCGAGAGAGCGAGAGAGCGCGAGGGGGAGTACACATCTCATCTCTAGCAGCTTTGCAGCGTCTCTTTCCCCTTGGTTTCTAGTGTCAGCAGCTGCTCTCGACAGAGGGAGCTCCTGGAGTGATTGCTGCCCTCTCCTCCACTTCTCGTCTGTGCGACATAGACTCTCCTCCTCTCTCACCCATTCCAATCACCACATCTCGAGTCCAAGATTCGCCCACACCTTTCGTGCACTTGTACGTCTCGTCAGCGGGCGGTGCGTGCCGGGTGCAGTGGCAGCGAGCCAGTGGAGTGACGCAGCGAGAGAGGGAGAGAGAGAGATAGAGAGACGGAAGGACGAGATTTGTAGTCTCAGCAGGCGTTGGTTGACACAGGGTCTCGCCATTGCATTCATCGAAGGTGGGAGCGTCACCGAGAGAGCAGCACGGAGAGGAGAAGAGGAGAGGGAGGTCGAGAGAGGCTTTTGTAGCAGGAACGTAGAGATTAGAATTATAGCACTTGTTTCTAGAGTAGCAATCAGGCAGACAGACAGACATACATGCAGGCAGGCAGGAAGGCAGGCAAACAGCGTGTATGTCTCTCAGGGGATGCTGAGGGAGTCCGAGCATTGGTATGGAGCCCCTGCTGCACTAATTAAGTGGACGCGACATCCATGCTTTTCGACAGAGGACCAATTCACCCCCGGTTTTCGAGTCAAGTGATCACTGTGAGAAGAAAAAGCATTCTCTGACGTCTTCAGGAGGATGTTGACCGTGAGCGAGAGAGGAAAGGATCAGGAGTAACATTACGAGCTGGTAGGAGAGAATCGAGGACGAGCTCAGCAGAACAGCGGACATTGTGGTCGGTCATCCCGAGCTTCGCAGCAGCTCCAGAGCGCCAGTGGCGAGTGTTGTCCAGCAACTTTCGGATTCTGTGAAGCCTTTATCTAAGACGCAGCGCCAGGTTTCGTTCCAAGGATGAGGATTGATCATGGACCCGTGCAAGCAATGCAGGTTCACCATCCCCCAACACCTGGCGATGTGCCAGGAGCGGGGAAGAATGTTCACGCGAAAGATAACTACCGACTCCTTCAGGCGGAGTCGGATGATTCATCCCAAAACAATCGCGAGATGTGCCCTCTTCGCCTCGGCACCAAAGTAGATGGCTTCGAACGCAAAGGTCAACAATGGTGCGTACTTCCGAATCACAAGGCCAGCTTTTTCTGTCTGTCAATTCTCCAGACCCCTGTCGAGCTTCTCATGTCTGGATCGCGCTCTCTGCTACACCCCTTCGTGTGTGTCCGAATTGACAGCTGAATGCGGAAATTTGCCGGGCGTCCACTCGGTTTAGCTCAAAGTGACGAATTTTGGGCGAAGGGTGTATGATTGGAGCAACTTTGAGGCGGCCGCTGGGACGCTTTCGCCCATGTCGTTCATCTTCCGAGTCTCTCGCATTGTCCAAATTGCTGACCCCTGTGTGTAATGGGATTTTGCAGGTTCGTCGCCACCGAACTGCAAAGCGATCTCGTCGTGGAGGTCGGCGACATGAGTTTCCATCTGCACAAGGTGCATTCCTCGCCCCTGAATTCCTCGTGTACGAAGCCAGCCGCAAAGCCGAACATTGAGAGCTGCGAGCATGGCTCTGCGTGTGGGAGCCACTCGCGGGGATTAGAGGTGCTAGGCTCAGGGTCGTAGAGGGGACGAGGTGGGGATGGTGGTTAGATTGCCGGGGTGCCGGAGCGAATGATTCTGACGGGTTGGATGTGGTGTGGAATGATTTTGCAGTTTCCGCTCCTGTCTCGAAGCGGCAAGCTGAATCGACTGGTGTTCGATTCGCGCGACGTGGAGAACAGCCACATCAAGCTCGACGATATGCCCGGAGGCCCCGAGACGTTCGAGCTGGCGGCCAAGTTCTGCTACGGCGTGGCGGTGGAGCTGACGTCGGCGAACGTGGCGTCGCTGCGCTGCGCCGCCGAGTACCTGGAGATGGGGGAGGATCTGGAGGAGGGCAACCTGATGTCGAAGACGGAGGCGTTTCTGAGCTTCGTGGTGCTGGCCTCGTGGAAGGACTCGATTGCCGTGCTGCAGAGCTGCGAGAAGCTCACGCCGTGGGCCGAGCAGCTGCAGATTGTGCGCCGGTGCTGCGAATCCATCGCCTGGAAGGCGTGCACGGATCCGCGCGGCATTCGCTGGTCCTTCACCGAGCGCGCCGAGGCCACGAAGAAGTCCCACGCCAGCCCCATCTGGACGGGCCCCAAGGGTGGCAGCGCCAACTCCATCTCCGATCAAGTTCCCAGCGACTGGTGGTTCGAGGACATCTGCGTCGTGTGCGTCACCTTCTTCACCAAGATCATCGCAGCAATCAAGGTCAAGGGCATGCGCTACGACCTCATCGGGTCCGCCATTGTACATTACGCTCTCAAATGGCTGCCGGGCCTGACCCGCGATTTCGTGGTCATGCCCAAGGATCCCAAGGAACCCACTCTGGTCGATGGCAGCTTCCTGGCATTCGGAGGCGCCCATGGCGGCAAGGACAAGGACGACGAGGCCAAGTCGTCGGATTTGGGCTCGGTGCAGGACAAGCAACGCGTTCTGGTCGAGACGCTGGTGGGCATTCTGCCATCGCAGAAGGACGCGGTGCCCTGCACATTCCTGCTGCGGCTGCTGCGCCTGGCCAAGATGCTGAGCATCAATCCGGGCCTGATCACGGAATTGGAGAAGCGGGCGGGGCAGCTGCTGGACCAGGGCACTCTGAGCGATCTGTTGATTCCTTCCTTCGACCACACTTGCGAGACGCTGTTCGACGTGGATCTCGTGCAGAGATTGCTCGACTACTTCCTGCTGCAGGACTTCGCCTCGCCGCAAGGCACTCAGAGCCCCGCCCACGACAAGGACAAGATCGGCACCCCGAGCTCCGACAAGCTGCAGCCGCAGTCCTCGTACGCCGCCAAGATGCGCGTCGCCAAATTGATCGACAACTACTTGGCCGAAGTGGGTCGCGATCAGAATCTCACTCTCCACAAGTTCCTCGCTCTGGCCGAAGCTCTCCCCGAGCACACCCGGGTCACCGACGACGGCCTCTACAAGGCTCTCGACACTTACCTCAAGGTGCGTCGCCTTCCTCCCCGCCCCTCGTCATCTCGTCATCTTGCAGTTTGTGCTCGAGACTCGTTTCGGATTTTATGAATGTCTGTCGAATGTTGAATGTCGAATGTCGAATGTCGTTGCGGACGGGAATTCGTGGCCCGAGCTGGGGGCTGATGGATCGGGGTGGGGGATTTGCGAATGTGTGCAGGCTCATCCACTGCTAACGGAGCACGAGCGTAAGAAGCTGTGCCGCACTCTGGACTGTCAGCGGCTGTCGCTGGACGCTTGTATGCACGCAGCGCAGAACGAGCGGCTGCCGCTGCGAGTGGTGGTGCAGGTGCTGTTCGGGGAGCAGATCAAGCTGAGGAATGCGGTGACGGGGTCGTCGAGCATGGCGAAGGAGATTGGGCCGCCGTACCCGCCAGCGGACGACGACACGCACAGCCCCGGAGGCAGCAGCCACGAGAGCCTGCCGCACGACAGAGGCAGCGCGCATCACTCGGACCACCACGAGCCGCTGAACCTGAACCCCGAGGAGTCGGAGGAGGAGATTCGCGTGCTTCGATCGGACGTGGAGAAAATGAAGGGCAAGTTCATGGCCCTGCAACACGACTATTCGGCAATTCAGCAGCAGCTCGAGAAGCTGACCAAGCACCCGAAACCTCCTCCGGCCACCGGGTGGAAGAAATTGCTGCCGCATCCGCATTTCCACGCCCCGCACTTCCTCTCGCACCCTCTGGACATCTTCCATCACAAGGACCACCACCACGGGCACGGCCACGGCCACGGCAAGGACAGCCACCACGGCCACCATCACCATGGGAAGGACAGCCAGCACGGGCACGGGCACAGCAAGGGAGGCGCGGACGCGCACGGCCATCACCATTCGAAGAAGCACGAGGCGCACGACCATGCTCATCTGATCGACAACCATCGGCATTCGGCCAAGGGCGACTCCAAGCATCCCAAGGAGCACGACTCGCATCACCACCACCACCACCACCATCACCATTCGGCCAAGGAGACTCCGCGGCATTCCAAGGACCACGAGCACCGGCACTCCAAGGATCGGGACACTCACTCCAAGGAGCACGACCTCCCGCCGTATGTGACCGAAGGCTTCCACTCGGCCATCGGGCCCGAGGCTTTCAAAGAGACCATCGCCCATGCCCGGGTTCACCACTCGGCCAAGGGCCCCGAAGCGTTCAAGGAGAGCATGGCGGCGGTGCATGCCCACGTGAACCAGCATTCGAAGAACCATGAACTTCACCGGACCTCGAGGGACTCGCATCACTCGGCCCACTCGACGCACTCGACGCACTCGACCCACTCCAAGGACTCGTCGCACCACCACGCCCGAGGCTCGCACGAGCAGAAGGACTACCAGCTGAACCTGCAGGAGCATCCGGCCGCCGCGCAGCTCCCGCAGAAGGGCGCTCACGAGGAGCATCGGCCCTCGAAGGATTCGACTCAACATCACTCCGATCACCACAAAGACGGCGAAGCAGCTCGCCTCTCCAATTCTCATCTCTCCAGCGGCGAGGACTCCTCGAGAAGTATGGAGGGCCCGACCACCCCCACGCACCCCGTCGAGCATAAGAAACACCGGCCTTTTGCCAATGCCATCAGAAAATGGAGAAACTCTATCTCGTAGGTAGGTAGCTCAGATCAGACCGATCGTCGTTCGTGTAGTCAGCCCGATTTATAGCAAGACTCGTCATTTAGTGAAGCATCTTAGCATTGTGCAATACGGTTCTCGTCACACACTCTACACAGTAGTATCAAAGGTGGTGCTCTTAGCAATTGTAGCAATTAGTGGTAGATTAGCTGAAGGTTTCTGAATCACAGGTAGTAGCCGGCGGTAGAAGTCCGACTTCAGTTCTGCACTGGACTGGGCTGGACTGGACTCGACATGACATGGCATCAGGTAGTCTTAGTCTAAAGGAAGTTTGTCTGGATTGTGACCCATCGTGGGTGTCACTAGGTGGGTGGATAGCTGTTTTGCCTGTATAGCATATGGATGTGAATTTAAGGTTTCGACCATTCCGAACCACAATTCTCCATGTGATTGTGAATGCCACTTGACACCAATAATTCGAAATCTCAGTCCATTGTCGAAGAAGCCGTCTGTCTGACAATGCCGCAAAATAAAAACCGTTAACTTCACCGTTTCCGGATTGCGCTCTTGCCTTTCTTCTGTCTCTGGGTCCTACGTCTGTCCGGGTCGTCACTGAATTGCGCTTGTCAGCCTCTGCGATTGCTTGAAGCGAAGCTGTGCCTCCGACCCTCTGTTTCACCAGATTAGCGGTGAAATTGACTCCACCCGGGTGGGGTCAAAATCCTCGCAGATTCATGCTTAGATGATCAAGGCAACCAGGTACGATATTGCCTCTACTGCCCGTACAGACAACTGACGGTGGCCCAGATAGAACTGACGCTTGATGAAGAGACATACTGTAGCGAGAACTGGAGAGAAATAGGACCATCACATCGGTTTGCGAGTGGAAGTGAGAAGTGCCCATCACAGATACTACAGATGGAGAAGGTGGAGGATGGCCGAACAAGGAAGCAGGACCGAGGTGCCAGGGCTACGCGAGTTCGGTCCGAGCCCCGTGGGTACGATTCTTCCATGCAGCTGATGATTGGCATTTGAAGAGCACGTTATGGAAAACCGGTCATCTTCCACTTTTGGTTCGAATAGTTCGGTGGCAGGGCAGAGAAGCGCTGGAGTAAGGACGCCTCTGTAGTACCGTCTCGCCCTATGGGATCACCAGCAGCAGGTCCTCTTCAGGTCCAGATTACGCAGATTCATTCCCTCTGGGTCTTTGAGGAAACTTAGAATGCGATAGAGTCTCGTGGTTTCCATATCAGAAAGTGAAACGAACACTGGTTTTGGAGGGGCTCAACTGACATTAACCCATCGTAACTACCTCCTCGTGGACCAGATTTCTGTTCAACCGCGAGCTCTCGAGCATCAGCCTTTCCAGACTTCGTCATAAGTCGAAGTCGATCTCCAGTAAGTTCTTCTTTTCCAACGCGAGTAAAGTCGAGGCGATTTGTGAATCTTGACTTGTCATCGATGTCGTCGTAACCGACTCTGACCAGCAGGCTGCAGTGAGGCTCTACGTAACTAAACAATTTATTTCTCCTTGACAGCGGACACCAAACTGCTCCGAAAGAATGACACATCGCTGTAAGAAGGGCTCATAAGGCTGCAATTTACAGCCTTGCTCGGCCAGCCGAGAATCTTGTCTAGCGCCAAGACTCTTTCCAGAGAGTTGAAATCACTTTTCTGGACACACTCATTAGACGTCCAGAACAGAACACAATCAAAGTGTGGGGCTCTAGTCCCAACAAAGTGACCGGCAAGGTGTGAGTTTCATCTGCCATGAATCTCTGTCGAAACGAATCATGGACTTTGGCTCCATCTCGTCCCATCACAGACGACTCCCCGACTCCATGTGGACTTAGCAGAGCACTTGCATGCAGCTTGTCCAGAGCCAGCGGCGCTTGGGAGTCACATCTTGACTTATCCACAGCTCCAAATAAGGCCACCGAGTGGCGGATGCCAAATTCAGCGAACTGCACCCCGGAACTTGGAACACGAAGATTCTGTCTGTGTCAGGAGAAGAGGCTACGGCGCTAGCCTCCAGCCTGACTAAGTTACTGCGACTTCCGGAGCAGAGCCGAACAGATGCAGAACATATGCACAGCAAATGCACTGCCGGTGTGCTCACGGAATTCATTTTTCTTCTGCATCATAGTCATTCCTCCCATTTTTACATTATCCATTATGTGCCCCACATCATCATACTGCAAGCGGCTTCGAGGTTTTTCCAGGCCTCACATTCATGTTTTGAGAAAGCAATCTAGTGATCGCCATCATTGCACTGCAATGTATGGATTATTCCCTCGCACTCGAAGAAGGTGGACTTGGGTGGGGCTTTTCCCATGGACAGTTCTCAGTGAAGTTTCCGAGAAGCTTTGACTCAAGGAACCTTCGACGCCCTCGAGTCCAGACGGCCAAACCCAGACGGAAGGAAAGTGAGAGAAAATGGCAGGAGCGAGCGAGCGAGCGAGCCATCATGCGAAGCGAAAGTGGCAAACGGCATATGCTGGCGATAAGTTAGAACGTGTTCAAAGCAAGTGGACTACATCATTCTCCTGAAATCCTCAATGTTGTCTTATGTTGTGGTTCTAGACACTACGGGCAAGCAGTTGAAACATGCTAAATATCAACTGCCTCTTTTAGCTCGTAAGGCTATAAAGAGTGTGTTTTGTCCGAGCCAAAGAAACAATCGAGAAAATGGAGTGCCATTACCCCACCTCGAACGCAGCTGAATGAGGACAAGCACATCACGCTTCATGCATGGTCCCGAGCCAACGCCAACATTCCTTCGTTTTCGTCGTGGTTGGGAAGCACTTCTCACTGGTACACTCTAGCTTAGCCAGTAAAAGAGCCGAGACCTGCTCCGCCCAAGTCAAATGCCCGCTATTATTTCCCCACCTTATCTCTTGCACAGTCACGCTCCAAGTTTGCCTCGAGCAGTCTCTTCTCTCCTCTTCTCGCCTGGCTTCGTCCGCTTCGAGCCGGCATTAAATTTGCACTTTGTTCCGTTCGCTGTTTTTTCCTGTGCCTCGAGACGTTCTCGTTTTTGCCAATAAAACCGAGAGCTAGAGAGAGAGAGAGAGATAGAGAAGGTTAGAGAAACGAAGAGAATTCCAAAATGGATCTCATCTTGTCTCATCGAGTGGGTAAAGATCTCTGCGCGAGAGTAAAGATCAGCCACAGCCAGTTTTCAAACATGCGACAAGAATACAATTCGTTATAAGTCAACGTACTTTGCGACCATGGTGACCCATTTCTCTTCGAAATATAGTCAACAGTACAAGGTATTTTCCGCAGCAATTTTGCGTTAGACTTAGAGACTTTGTCCTCACTCCATGTTATTCACGTTAGGGACATATTTCCAACGCGCCCCACCGAAGCTGTGCTTGTATTGAGAGTGTGCGTTCAGTAGATTTTGTGTACCCAGTCGTACTCAAAAACATTTGTGCTTTGTTTTCTCAAATTCCAGAAAAAGCTAGCTATTCTCAAGGTCAGCTGGACGCGATGTATGCTTTCTCCGATAGTTTTTTCCCGAATTTAATGTGCTGTTGCTTTTTCAGTTTGGGGAAAAAAATATAGTCACTACAAACTGTGCATTGCCGAAGCTCTTCGAAGGATGTCTCATTTTTTTGGTCCACACATAGCAATCTCATTTGCATGAGATCCTACAGGTTGGAGGCCGGCGGGAAAGTATCATCCGTACATAAACATTCTATTTTGAATTGTGATACTAGTGTTCCATCTGTTTGGTTTGTCCAAATTGGATTATAGAATGTGCCATGATATCATGGCACATCATATGATCCAATCTAGCTAGACCCAATTTGTTTTCCCAAGTTTCCGGGTATTTGTACAATTTCCTTTCTCCCATGATAGCATCATCAAATTTCTTTTAATCGACTTCTGGGCAGTTCTAAATTGACTTTTATCCTTCCGGGCCTGACAATTCTTAACGTCAACATTCACACAGGTGACACGATCTAACACACGAGACCAAAGAGATACGTGATTTATCTAGTTAAACTAAGTCCACAGAACGCAATATTGTTTTACTGATTTAAATTGGATTACTGATAGCTACGATGGTTAACTAGACTAACTAATAATGGTTTAATCAATACCTGATTTAACTCCTACCAATCCCTGTTGATCCATGTATGGGGAACTATAACCATCATAGCGTATATAAATTAGTGTGGAAACTTCTAGACATATACCTAACATAAATAAATATTTAACTAGAGTTAAGTAGAACAAAGTGGTAACCAAAACATAAATTATATACAAAGATTATGTAAGTGCTAGTCTACTTAAATTTTAACCATATGCAATATGACACATGTTACGAGGAAATTCAAATGAACATAAAAACAACCCGTTGCAAATATTACACCGACGAAAGCGCGCCTATGATATGTGCACGGAAATATAACATTTTTAGTGTCATAAACCAATACACTGTTTGAGGTCAAGCTATGATTTGCACTCTTATATAGTCCAAGAAATAAAAATCCCAAAACCCGGATAACGAAAACGATGTGATTTATCATCAACAATTTTTCCTTTCATTCATGTAGCAAAGATAATAATCTCCATGATCTATATACTTATCTTGTGGAAAATTCTAGAATGAAATTCTATAGTTTAAAATAGAGTTAAATAGAATCAAGCATGATAGAGTGGAAATATCAAAAGTTAACAAAAATTGCTAGTTTATTCTACTTGTGCTATTCATGCAAATACTGCATAGTACTGCAATGTAACTATTCATCATTTGATTTGCAGCAAGATGTAACACACTTTGATTATCATTAGAGACTGAAAGTATTGAAAAGTAGATCAATGTAGCTTGCATGGTGAAAAAATCAATTTGAGAAAAAAATTGTATTAATGTTTTGACATTTCCAATTTTTAACTTAAACATTTTCACATGCTCAAATTGAAAATAATATCTTAACTAAAAATTTAAAAATGGTGAAAGATAGATTCACGTGGATTGCAAAATGAATGTCTCAATAAAAGCATATAAATGCAATATATGCAGTTTTCAACGTAAACATTTTCACAACCTCATACGCCACATTATCACAAAAGCATAACACACATATAAACAAAAAATAAGGTAATAGAGATAGATAAAAAACATACGGAACAAGATAAAAAATATGTAATTCACTTTGTTAATAATTGTGCAAGAAAAGTATTATTGCTTTATAAAGAATACTTATTGTATCCTTAAGAACTACAATCAATTTATATTATTACATATTTATTACATGTAATAATTTTTTTAGCAAACAATTAAATGTATGGCTAAGAATATTGATCATGACTTCATATGAATTGACAACTTTGTTTTTTTTGCTTCACTCTTTAGATTTTTTCATATTAAAAATTGTTTCACATGAAGTTTATGTTTAATTATTCATTTAGATTAAATAAAAATATAGAAATCTTTGTGCACAAAGTTCAATCTGATCCAAATTTATTGTTTATATCAATCTTTATAGATATTTATATCACATCCAAACTTTATGTTTAGAAAGTTTTATTGAAAAAAATTGCAAATAGTCTTAAATAAACAATCCAATCATTTGAAACTAAATATCACACTTAGCTCACGTTGTAAATTTGCTATAGTTTGAAATATTTTTTTCAAAACAATTTTGTGATTTTTTGCAATTTTCATAAACATATATGTCAATTAGTATTTTTTTTGCAAGTTTTTATTTTTTTAGAATGCCAAATCTGTCTCAAAAATAATCTAACTAATATGAATCTTAAATCCAGTACGTAAATCATGTTCTAAGTATTCTTTTGATCTTAACTAATTTGTAAAAAACCTTGTGAAGATTCTGATAGTCAATAATGCCTACTCAAATATAAGTTCTAGCTTTAATTTTGGATCAAATCTAATCATCTTGAAATAGCCAAATTTTTCTTGAAACTCATATGAGTAAAGTGAGACTTAAACCTTACACATAGTGCACGTTATAAGACTTCTTTTTAATTGATATATATCTGAAATTTAATTTTCACACAGCGCACATTATAAGCTCTTTTATATTAAAACATAATTGGTATAAAATTTTATTACTCTCTTGCAATTCCCAAAAATACACTTTTAGATGTAAATTTTATTCTTGACTTTGAATAAAAAATGTTATCTCATTGAAACACCTAAATCTTCATATATATTCATTCAGTCAATTTGAAACTAGAACTTATTTATATTTTATGCTGTAAAATTTTTTTGAACATGTGTTTTGAAAACATATGATACTCTACAATCGCAAAAATTGTAAATTTCAATTAAATTTAAAATGAAAATTTGAATTTTCTTGAAAAAATAAAATATTGCTCAAAACGAATTTATACGATACGATAAATTGGATTCAAAATATTATATACCCAAGTTGAAGATTTAATTACATTATAATGTATTATCTATAGTTGCCATGTCAACAATCTGTATGATTGATAAGTAAAGAGTAAATATGTTAGTTCACATTGACACTTAAACAATCATTGTACTTGAGTGAAATAGATGATGGATATAAAATCTTTTCTTCTTGTAATTATTGGTAAGATCTTTACAAGAGATACTAGAATTGATAAAAATAATTTTCATCTTTAAAATTGTGTTTCATCTTTAAGTGAACTAATTTCTTAAATTTTAGTGTTACAACACAACTACTAAGATTATATGTGCTGAAACGGATTTGTAAAAAACCTTATTATGCTCTTGTGATTGTTAAAAACGTATTTTCTAATATATAATATTATTGTCAAATTTATGCAAAATTTCTAATCACTCTTTGGGACTTCTTTTACTCCTACCATGTTTAAATTGGTTAAATCATTTTTAACCAATTTTTTTTGGAATCCACCCAAAAAACTTATCCGTTTGTCAAAAATATGTATCTTATAACCTTGTTTCTTGTAAACTTTCTCTATTTCTCTATTTGTTTGACATAACTATCCACTGCTAATTGTCCTATCATCTCATCTCAATTGTGTCATCTCATGCTTGTGGAAGTCACAATTTCATGCTTTTGAAATATCTGTGAAGACTTTAAAAAATAAAATTAATCATTCAATTTAAGAAATTCTAATTTTAATTTTAGAAAAAAATAAAAAAATTATTTTGGAATTTTAAATATACAAAAAATAATAATAGATATTTTAGATAGATTATATTCTATCTATTTATTTATAATAATTAAATTTATGATTAATATGAATTATGTAGATTTTTATGATTTTTTAGATTATTTTTTTCTACATATTGCATATATTTTTTAAAAACTATGTAGCTTGATTTTGATCAATTTTCAACTTAAATATGTTTAGATATTGTAAAATAATTTGAATTGAAGCAAAATAGATATTTATTTTAATATGTGGATAATACAGGTGCATTACATGTTAGTAAATTTGTAAAAATTTATTTGAATCTCTAAAATTATCAAATGCTAACTTACTATATTCAAATTAGAATCAATTATACTATATTCTATCAAAAATTAGTTGTCTACCAAAGGGATTGTTACACTATGTGCCAAGGGCTTCATTGTATCAAGATTTAAAACTTTTCATAGTTGAGAACAGTACTTATTCTTATGAAAATCCATACTCTTATACATGTTTTATTATTAAATGATTCAATAGTTTTGAAACTTCAATATAATTTGCATAAGCTTTTCAATTTTATTCAATAAGAAAAGTTCAGTCTATGGATCTTAGACATCATTTGAGATTTGTTTGTAATGCTTTTCTTTTTTCATCAAGATGTAAAATTACCTTTTTTATAAATTATTGATATTTTGATGTAATAATTCTCTGAACTCTAATTCTTTAACAGTTGGTATTTTTCCATAGCTTTACATGATGACAATAAATATGAGGAGTTTGCTATGACATGGCATTATGAATAACTCACATGAGTGGAAATGAAATGGATAAGCTTTGCAAATGATTAACGCAAATATTTACATTCGTTTGATTTTGATGGAGAAGTAATTTAAATTCATGAAAAATATGATGATAAATAATCTTACACATGTCATATTTTTCAGAATTCTGATTTCGACCAATGGAGGGTTAACAACCAATAGCTCTAAACTTAAGGCTATACACATAGATCACTTTGGTGTTTCTTTCGTTTCTATATTAAAGAAATCATGAACACTAACTTTGACATGTTCTTAAGAGGATGAGAGAGCCTATCAGACGCCAGGTGACAAAGCGCCTGTGTCCTGATTGTTCATTTCTAGCTCTAGAGATTTGGCATCTAAGCTTTGTGTCTTTAAAAAATCTCCGGATTCCTAGAAGGGGTTTGTAATGTGAATTATAATTGGAAACGCGAAGGAAATCACAAAGATGTTGTTCGTTCACAATGAAGCTTACTACGTATGTTCAGTGACCATATGGTTGTTCTACATTTAGACAAGAAGAAGTATTTACTGACTAAACTGTATATAAGACGGCCCAGAATGTAAGAAATACTGTGAGCTGCTTTCAAACCTATATGCTGGAACATGAGTTAAGTCTCCAATCCACGTGAGCATTATTCTAGAAAACCGTAAGCGCATCTCGACTTCAAGCTATCAAATTCTTACATTCATCTGCATTAATTCCATGGTGATTGCCAGGTAAGGCTCGTGTGTTGGCTTCATAAACATCAATTAGGCTTCAACGCCCAGAAGGTAAAAGTTTTATTATGATACAATGCTCCTCCTTGAATTCGTTTGCAATCTACAGGTCTCATCATAGCTTTTCTAGCTCCTGTTCTATTTCTTCAGGATTCTCGATGATCATATATCCACATATCTCACACCAAGACAGTCATAAAATCTTGGCAGGGTTGAAAGATGGTCTTCTGTGTTGATCCTCGAAAGAACGCATGTTCTGAAGACGGCACGTTGTGTCCACTTCTAACAGCTGGAGAACATCTGATTTTCATTGCATTGCCTTCAGTTCTCTTCGAACACCAGTGGAGCTACATGAAAGTCAGAACCGCTGTGAAGAGCATATAGCACCATGAGATGGGATGCACGTGCTCAACTCTCCATAAGAAGTATAAAGAGATAAGCTTAGCTAATAAAATTGTAAGCGGAAGTATGTTTTGGATTATAGATGGGCACAAGTCTGCTTCAAGTTAATGATGAACGAGTCCGAACCCAGTGAAGATCGTGTTAGGCTCAACTATTCTGCCTTTTGATCCAGAGCAGAAACATTGCCTACCCGTGAGGCCGTGTACAGCTCGAGAGCAAAAAGTGCCTTGAAATAAGGATGACTAGCTAAATCACATTCCCAGTCGGCAGGGAAGACAACACATTGCTGTTGTAGCGGATGACAAGACCTCCTGCATTGCTTTCTTAATTGTTCTTGTGCTGCTGGAAATGAACATAATGACATTTAAAATTTCTTTTCTTCATGGAACAGTGAGCTGAAAGCACGCGTTGTCCCTTGAAATCAGCTGTCTGATAGTGTCTCTTCCATGTTTCCACCGTAGTCACCTTAACGCTACGCCAGCCAACAATGTGCATCAAGAAACTGTACTACCACGAAGGCTCCTGTAAGACCAGTATAAAGGTAGACTCAGAAGATCCATAGATCAGGAAATAGACAGACTCATCCTGAAATTTCAACCTCGGCCTTCGAATGTAAGTAACATCATATTTTTTTGCTTCATAGTCATGGATATCTGGATGCCACGGGATTGGTGACTGGACAATCAGGCTCCTTCTCGATTTCAATGATTTCCATTCCTAGCAGGATATGTTGTTTATTTGTGTCCAACTTACGTTCAACACTCCTCGTCTGCATCCTGCAGGAAGGTGGTTCTGATCATACAAAAAATCTGCCAATCAAACTAGACTTGGACAGACTCGAGAATTCTCTACTTTTTGAAAGAAAACTCTATATAGAGAAAACGAGACTAGAAAGATCCCGAGGTTGAGATAACATTCTTCAGGATGGATTTCCGCAGTATCGAGGTGCAGCGGTGGATGCTGGCTGCCATTCTGGCCGTAGTTGTTGCAGCTAAGTTTTCAGAGGCGCAACTTACAACTGATTTCTACGATTCATCTTGTCCACAAGCAGCGTCTATAGTCAAACAAAAGGTTGATGCAATTGTTGACGCGGATAGAGGACTGGCAGCGGCTCTTATGCGCCTACATTTCCATGACTGCTTCGTCCGGGTATCTGAGCTCAACCCCTGTACCTCGCCGTGCAAATTTTCAAGACATAGAAGCTGTTTGCTGTCCCTTTGTTACTGACCTGGTGTGCTGCAAAAAGCGAAATACTTTACAGCAGATTCGAATATGGACTGTTGCTGCTAGGCAAATCCACAAGGCCGAAACAATGATTGAAAACTAATGCAGAATTTCTGAGTCGCCTAGATGCTCTGTGCAATTTTCAAAAAAAATACACGGCTTATCGTAGTGATGATTGCGCAGGGTTGTGATGGATCTGTGCTTCTGAATTCAACGGATCCAAACATTCTCACCGAGAAATCGGCATTGCTCAACAACAATTCTTTGAGAGGATTTGAGCAGATTGATGAGATCAAAATGGAGCTCGAATGTGCATGCCCAGGAGTTGTATCTTGCGCCGATATTCTAGCTCTGGTGGCTCGTGATGCAACTGTGAAGGTGAGAAAGATGCAATACAAAGTGCTTCAGTAATGTTGTGTGCAAAAGGATGTTGACAATATCTGATCTGATTTACGCAGGAATTTTATTCGTAGTTCCTTCGACGCTTAGTTCCAATATGTAAACGTGATTTGATTATTTGTGAGGAGATATAAGAACACAGATAGAGAATTGATCAATCCTCCCGATATATCAGTGTTAAGCACATTGCTCACAGAGGAATCTTCTGGCGCTGAGTGCAGGTTGGAGGCTGGAGCTGGCCAGTATTTCTGGGCCGCATCGATGGTGCTGGATCGTTTGCTGATGAAGTTAACGGTAGCTTACCCGAACGTACAGACAACTTCACTAAGCTAGTCCAGACCTTTGCCAAAGTTGGTCTTGACGCTAAGGATATGATCATACTCTCAGGTAAATGAAATGTTTCCTAGATAATCTGAGAGTCGGAGAGGAAATTGAATTCCTATTCCACCTTTCGATGGGCAGAGGACACAAACGATTCGTCAGATTTACATCACAATCCCAACGTGGATACTCTGAGTTGTAGGATTGAAAATCTTTTACTAAAGTAATGTTTGGCACTTCTGTTTTTCTCTCAGGTGGGCACTCTATCGGACAAGTTCACTGCGGAGCGTTTTTCGAGCGTCTGTACAATTTCCAAGGTCAGAACATCACCGACCCATCGATGGACCCAGAATTCGCTGAGATGCTCAAGGTCCAGTGCCCTCAAACGCAGCCGTTCGGTTTCATGGCTTTGGATGCCACGAATGGCACTTTCGACTCGACCTACTACTTGGACCTTTTGACCAACAAAGGACTTCTGGAGTCGGATGTGGCACTCTTGAGCGATCCCCTGGGAGTAGAATATGCAATTAAAGCTGTGCAGGATCCCGACACCTTTCTATTCGAGTTCGGAATGGCAATGATTAAAATGGGCAGCATTCCAAGTGTTGATCCTTACGGCTGGAGAAGCCATTGCGCGTTCACGGAACCAAAGTACTGAGGGCCTGGAGATTTGAATATTTAGCGATTGTCAGTCGATACGCAATAATTGCAAGCACGCCTGCTAGTGCTCCTGATCCATTCTATTTTGCCATTGCTACGGATAAGTTTCACAGACATGTAGTTATGTCATCAGACCTTCGAATTCTTGGTCTACATTGGACCACGTGTACATACGTTTGCATTTGATCCGAAGCTAGACCGGGCCTGAAGATGGGTGCCGTTTAGGAACAGATGTTTTCATTCTTTAAAAGTCCAATCATCAAGAACTTTCAATAAAGAAGAATCAATCGAGAAATTTGGACGTGTCAAGTTTTGGTCATGCACCTGTATCAATCAGCTTTTCTCTTCGGGCTTGACAATCGAACTTCAAAGTTCTGTTTGGAAGAAATACTATCTGTATATTACTAATAACAGCATTGACCTCCATCATAACTGATGAAGAAAATTCATAATGCCTCATTCGCCAGAAAGGTGTCAAAAGTTCTTAGTATGGGCAGGTAAGCTGATGGCTAAAGTGATACAATACTGTTTATATCATAAAAAAAAAAGAGAGTAGTACTTCCATACAAGGTAGATGGAAGACCGAATCGAGAGATATAAAGATTAATGGCAGGTGGAACAGTGATACACAATAAAATACAGACTTGTGGTTCATGTTTTTGTCGTGAATTAAGGATCCGTCTCCAATTATTTATCGTTTACTTTGATTTCTGCTCTCCTCCGCCTGACTTGCTCGGGTAAACTCTGGGAATAGGCTTGAAAAAGGAAGCCTAAGATCAGTAGATAGATACATCTGGTCGACGCTTTCTGTAAGCAGTTTGCCCCAACGCGGGGATCGGGCGTTTAAGTCTTTCTCGAATCAAGGAAACGAGTGCAGCCCACCTCGGTCTGGATATAGAACCACCAGAGGCATCCACTTAAAGCTCCGTGCAACCGGACTAGCCGGTAGGTCTGTGTCGGATAGTACGAAACATTCTCCACGAAAATAAATGTTGACTTTTAGACCCCGCATATCGAGATTTGAAAGCTTTTGTGTTCATATGCTCTTTCTTCTAATAGTGATTTGTTTTGCTCCATGAATTGGTTCCTTGGCCATTTCTGGATCCTCAGGACTCTTATTTCTATAAATCCATTCTAACTGAGCTGACTATAACACATGGGGCTGATAAGCAAGGGATTCTTAAATGTGTGGGCTGGAGGATGTGATGAGAGGATACCGCGATCTCGATTTTCTTCAAGTCTTCAATGTTTGAGTCCTCGATTGACGTAACTAATATCAAAGTAGCTAGCAGCAGGGTCAGGGGGGCTCACACCGTGGATCTTCTTATTATTAGCAATTTGAGCAATGGACCTGGCATCTACGACATGTTGAATATGCTTTATCTTTTCTGAAGCAATGCGCTCTCTCACATTTCACCTTTCTGGTCAAGCGAGCAACACCGTGTACAGCATGTGCAATAAGTCACCTTCACGAATCAGAGAAGAGTGTACAAAGATCACGAATGCTTACTCCCGGTTTTTACTTCTTTGTATATCCTCTCGGGTCTTTCAAGATCTGCCGATCCACGTCTCCTCCACACACCATTAGATCCTGCCGAGCTTCCTTGCATTCTGCTCTTTTATTAACATGTCTTTCCTTTTGTAAGATGAAGACCAGCTCGTGTCGATCCATGGGACTGAAGCACCTTCTTATGTCAAATTCAAGGAACCACAACGCTCCCGTCCATTTCTGTCAAATTTGTTCTAACCCCGAGTGACAACCTTCACGGACGGAACCCGTGTTCCTGAAGCTTAACTCCTGGATACCTCCAGGAATTTAGATTCGTATATATGTATATGTTCAATAACTATTTTCATAGCTTGCTGAGCAATATTGTCCATCTGTAAGACATCGTCAGTGTGGATGAAGGCTGTAAAGTTTCGGGGGCCATCTCCGTTTATGTGGAGGGACGGGACGACTGCCTTGCGATCCAGGGAGTCATCTGTAGACACGAGGATCTAAACAGGTATCGGTAATGTTTAAAGTATCAATGATACTTTAAACATCACCACTGCTTCCTGCATCCACTACAATCCTTCTTTACTGGCAATATCCTTGCAATCCTCCGTCACTATTGTAACACTTCAAATTGTTTAAAGGACCGACATCGTACAGTATGAAGCTCGAAGAAGGTGCAGCCAAAGTATACAGTGCTGTGATAGTACAGCATATGGTGCGGAAATCAAGTTGAAACGTACTTTCTGCGGAGTCAAACATGGAGACCTCCTGGAATGTGAACTTGAAGTGGATGAAACTTGTTGTTAAAGGATACGCAACACCAGGGTTGTACCAATCTAAGTAGAAAACTGAATTAATACGTCCATATGTCCAGAGAGGATAGAACTTTGCGAACACATTTTCTGTCATGAATGTAAGAACGCTGCAGTGTGAGCTAACATTATGGCCGAAACGAAGCTCCTCACTGTATGTCACAAGTAAAACGTCAGTTGTCCAGGTCAATATTCCCGAACACGCAATATTTAAAACAGTTCTAGTTTCACGTTAACAGATCGTGCCCAAAGAAGTATCATGAGCAACTGCGATGAAGAGGGAAAGCCAACTGACTGGTTTGAATCGGTATGTATATATAGCCCGTCATACGACCCACAAGGCAGGAAGCACACGAGCTCGTCTCGGATCGTCATCCACGGCCTCTGCCTCGTAAGTTATCTTCGACCGAAATTTCTCATGAATTTGTGAATATATGAGAAATCTATCGCTGTTTTGAATTGTTTCGAGACGATGAAATTCTCGCCAATGGGCCAATGTGAATGTATATCTCTTGATGATTTCCATGTCCCGGTTTTTGGCTCTTTGGAGGACATGCAGGAAAGTGGTTTTGACCCTAGAGTTTTAGTGGTCAGACTACTTTCGAGAAGGTTTGAGTTAAAGTTTTGAGAGTTGTCTATCAAAGCCGACGAGAAAAGTTATAAGATTCGACAGCCTATCATCAAATGGCTTCATCATCTCAATGGGAGACGTTTCTTTCCTTCATCCTTTTCTTCGTAGTCGCAGCAGTCGTTGCTGAGGCGCAACTGTCAACTCAATTCTATGACTCCACCTGTCCACAAGCCGCATCTATAGTGCAAGCAAAGGTTGATGCGTTCGTTGAGGCTGATCGAGGATTGGCAGCCGCTCTGATGCGTCTCCACTTTCATGACTGCTTCGTGCGAGTAAGAGTTGCTCCGTCATTTAGCCTGGATAAAGAAATAACTTTTGATATTCCAGCTAAATTCTCTCTTATCTGCTTATGAACTTGCAAGCGGTATTATTATAAATCATCGCACGTGTGAAATATGAACGGTTAGGATTCATCATTGTATCCATCTTTGTAGAGAAACAGCTCTCTAATCAGCATGATATTCTCCAGAATATGAGTCGTTTCCATCTATTAGCTCTTACTTCGACTTGACTGAATTCCTTTGTGTATCTGAAGATAAAGTAATTCGACTCTATTCTATGGGTCCACTCTTTTGGTGCAGGGCTGTGATGGATCCGTGCTTCTCAACTCAACAGATCCTAATAGTCTGACTGAAAAGTCTGCGCTGTTAAACAACAATTCTCTCAGAGGATTCGAACAAATCGATGAGATCAAATGGGAGCTGGAATGTGCATGCCCAGGTGTTGTATCATGTGCAGATATTTTAGCTCTGGTGGCCCGTGATGCGACCGTGAAGGTTCAATACCGATCCTTTCTCCTTCTTCTGATTTGATCGATGTGCTTACTAATATCATACTCATCGTTATACGTCCTGAGGTCTGTACTGTTCTAAAGGGCGAATATATAAGTTACGTCAAATGAAAGCGCTCACTAGGAAGGGCACATCGATGGTCTAATGATTTACGAAAATATCCCTCTTGTTATCTGCACAGCTTGGTGGCTGGAGCTGGCCAGTATTTCTGGGACGCATTGATGGTGCAGGATCATTTGCGGATGAGGTCAATGGCAGCTTGCCTGAACGGAGGGATAACTTTACTAAACTTGTCGAAACCTTTGCAAAAGTTGGACTTGATGCTAAGGATATGATCATCCTCTCAGGTAAGACTGCTCGAATTACATTCTCTAACTCTAACGTCGGAGAAATTTACACCGCAGCCAGAACTAACTTCAGAAGGCCACGTGCTTGAAAGCTTGAATTTTCAAGCTCAGTGACTCCTGCATCGTTTCCATATGAAGGATACAGATTAGCTGATTTCTCTATTCTTGAATGCACCTGCAGGTGGACACTCTATTGGACAAGTCCACTGTGGCGCATTCTTCGAGCGTCTGTACAATTTCCAAGGTCTTAACATTACAGATCCATCAATGGACCCTGAATTTGCTGCCATGCTCAAGGCTCAGTGCCCTCAGACCAGGCCTTTCGACTTCATGGCATTGGATGCCACCAACGGCACCTTCGATTCTACTTACTACTTGGATCTTTTGACCAACAAAGGTCTACTTGAGTCGGACGTGGCACTTTTGAGCGATCCTTTGGGTGTGGAGTATGCCATCAAAGCTGTGCAAGATCCAAACACCTTTCTGTTTGAGTTCGGAATGGCAATGATCAAAATGGGCAACATTCCAGCTAGCGATCCTTACGGCTGGAGAAAGCATTGCGCCTTCACCGAGCCCAAGTTGTAGGCCAGGCGGAGTTGACGACTATGTGCAATAACCATGCTTGGTCATGCATTCTGCTTCTGAAGGCAGATGGTCAGAAAAAACACATTTTTGAATCTATATTTAAAGCCCAAATTCATTCTAGATTCGATGAATTTATGCTCTATCCGATCGCTGTAGAGCTCTCGGGTCGAGTATTAGCTTTAGATGGCAGGTCAAGCTGAATGTAGTCACAGATTGCATGGGCTGCACATTGGTTTATAGTGTACAGCAATGTTTAGGAAAATTGATTGATAAATAATGTCATCTATGACTATAAAAGCAATTTTATCAATAACTATCAAAGCTACTGGACATCAATGATATTCGACAAATGATTATTCAGTCTATAACAGTTCTTATGAACAGTCACTATCTTTAGACAGTCAATTGATTCCAGTGGATGATTTAGAATTTGGTCAATATATTAGAAGTAGACTATCGAGAGGTACCAGTTCTATTCTGAAGATCATATACACAGCGGGCATGTTCTGAAGAAAATATGAAACAGTCAGCGGAATTCAAAAGTTAACGCCTAGAATACGAATGAAATCGCAAATCCCCCACGTCGTTAAATTTAGCTTTGAATTATCGCACCGTGCAGTATTCGACTTCTCAAGCTTAGAAAAGAGATTGCAGGAAATATTTTTCTGGTGCAGAAACAGAGCGATGAAATTGGTTTAGATATCTCTTTGAAGAAAATTCAAGAAAGTTTTGAGAACTGTACGAGGAGCAAATCAGCGCCAAACTCAGACCCATGTCACTTCTTTCCAATCAGCTCTGTATTGGTTGACAGGAGCTAAATGCTGAGTCGGGAAGGTAAAATCTCGAGTTATTTGAAGTCAGCTTATTGGACATGGGAACTTTATGCTTGATGAAATGAAAGCTCCAGAGCACTCATGCCTGACAAAGTTTCTGAATTCACGTGAGGTCATAATAAATGACCTCACGTGACTTCAGAAACTTGCAATGCATTTAGAGCAGTCAATTTCTATGCTCGTCTTTATCCTGCATAAACTAAGTTCGATCGAGAATAAATCTCAGCTTCCTTTGATCAGTTCCAAGTTTTAGAAGTTTTTCATAACGATCCCAGAGTAGCTTACCAAAGTATAAAATTATGGAACCCAAGGAGTGGCTTATTATAGTCACAACTGCTCAGATTTCAAAGATTTGCTGATAAGGAGCTTAACCGTGTCCACATGACGTACCGAAGATGTACAAGTCTCGTACCGATGTGAGAGATATTTACAAAATCCACGTCTGCGATATCCAGTTCAGTAAGTAATTCTTTTATTTGAAACATTCACGGTCGTGAGCTCCCCAGGCAAAAAGCCGCTTCCTCTACATTTATACAATACACTACGTTGCTCGTTCTGAAAATATATTGAGCTCCGTTCATTTGCTCTTGAAGAATATGGCAGCTAAAAACTAACCAACACATTTTTCATGGGTGATCGTCTTCTATGGGTCCCAGCCAGAAGTAGGTGTCCGCAACATGTCTGAAACAGTGATGAATAGGAGAACCCGCCTCCTGAGCGCCGCTTCTTTTCTGATCTCTTCTTCGCCATCCCGTGCGTAACTCTTAACGTGGCAAACACGAACTGTCGACGTACTTTTAAAAGATTTTCTTCTATCGATCTGACGTCATGCAAATGTCAAGATGCCTCCACCCTTTCAAAGTCACCGTGTTAGCTCGAGTTGTTTGAAAACAGGATAACAAGAAGTCCGACGTATGTCTAACTGTTGCAATCTGCAAGGGATGGAGATGTCTTCCGCATTTCTTGGAGTTTTCGAGGAGGATCACGACAGCCTCATTTGGAAATCTCGCTACTTCCTGCATTAGCCACCAACTCACAGTTCTGTACCGTAAGGGCGGGAACTCTTTTTCATGTACGGCTCGTTAATCTCTACTGATCATAAAAGTGTTCGGAATGATGACAACATATGTGGCAAACAAGTACAACATCATTCGCTTCATGCTCTCTGGAAAGGGCGTCATAAGATTGAATAAATCCATCAGTTTGTCTTGCGTGGACAGCGTTGCATAGAATTCATTAGATTTGATTCCTTTCACAATGAGATGCTTCTGAAATCCATACGACGTAAAGACATTTGCTGATTCGAAACGAGTTACGTCATGTTGACACACTCTGTCCAAGAGCATCAGGTGCTCCAGGCGGTTCGTTGCGGCACAGAAGAAAAGAGAGTGATACCACACAGAAATCGCGTGTCTTTATCTCAGCAGTTCTACACGTCCATGCCACTCGAAGTGGAGTGCGAAATCAAAGAATACCTCGCCCTTGTTACTGCAAATTATGCGGATCGTGGGGCACCAACTTGCACGAGTAAAGCATTGGAACAACAGGAGCTTTCATCGATCGTCGGGGACAAATGGACTGCCGTGAGATCGAGAATTCAGGAACTAGAGACAGCCTCATCCTTTCCAGCCCGGCCTTAGCTCATAAGTTGGAGCAGTTTCATTTCCTTCTCAGACTTTCTCGGCTGCTTATCGGAGCTCGACTGGGCAGTTTTGATAACTGATGGTATTCTTACTCGTGGCGTCATGCAGGAAGGTGGCTGTGACCATCGCTTGTGGTGGCCATCTGCCTCCGGGTGGGGTCGAGGTTTCATTCAGTCGTTGACGAAAAGCAACACCGAGAAAATAATCTGATCTTAAACATTCGGCAATGACGTCACAAAGAACAAGACTGCAGTGGAGGATGCTCGCTTCTACCATTCTTTTGTTCCTTCTTGCGGCAGTTGTTGCAGATGCGCAACTGTCTCCGGGATTCTACCATTGGACTTGTCCACATGCCGCTTCTGTCGTGAAAGCAAAGGTTGATGCTTTCGTCGAAGCCGATCGGGGATTAGCAGCAGATCTCATGCGCCTGCATTTCCACGATTGCTTCGTTCGAGTAAGAAGAATTACCTCATTGTCGAAAGGGCATGTTACTCCATGTTCGGGATACTTGTTTCTTATGGCTGTTCTTGCTCGTACAACAATAAGACCAGGACAGGGACACTAGATCCGAGCATCGTCTTTGATGCACAGTATCCGTAGACAAAAGCGTACTTGAAAATGGTATCGAAAATATATACTGCTCATATATAAGTCTGGTGCATGTGCAGGGATGTGATGGATCCGTCCTTCTCGATTCAACTGATCCAAATGTTCTCACGGAGAAGTCAGCGTTGCTGAACAATAACTCCTTGAGAGGATTCGAGCAAATCGATAAAATCAAGATGGAGCTCGAGTGTGCATGCCCAGGTGTTGTATCATGTGCGGATATACTAGCTCTCGTCGCCCGCGATGCCACAGTCAAGGTGAGCCAAGAGCTCATTTCTGATGATTCTTTCAATCAAACACAGTCTTCAGCTGGATCAAATTATGTCCTTCATAAATTCTGAATGTTTGGCACACGTCTCCTTGAATGCAACGGAGAGAAGTGGTTGGCTGCTTGCCGAGATCGCATATCGGGTTTCTGTGTCGGCCATCCACATCTTCTCATATCGAAAATCCACTCGCTCATTTTGGCTTATGCACCAGAGTTGAATATCAGTCAGTTTTCGATGTTTCGTACGATCTGGCTAAGTACAAAGAATTCTCGAACTTCAACTCAATTTTTATGGGGTAATATGAAATTTTTGTAAGTGATTTTAAAGATTATTTTAAAATATTAAGTAAAAATTTCGATACTCTAAACTTGCAAGTAGGATGCTAACCAATCATAGCAGAACACTCCAAATATGGATTCGTCACGAAATGACATCTTTCTAGATTGAAGTAGATCACATGATTGGTTTTTACCAGGAACGTAAAGATACATACAATAATAAATTAAATGCTAAGCATGAAAGTATGGCACTAAAAATCTAGAACCTTCCTGCGTAATGAACTTAAGAACGAAGACGACTCCGAACGATGCAAATGTCCAATCAGGTTCACTCACAAGGAGGGAACGTTATCTCACTGGAATCTTATATGGAAGGTTTCCATCACAGGATGGCCGATGCAGATACCCTTTTGAGGAGGTAGGCGATACCTTCACGCGATGGGACTGAACGTTCAAAGTCGGCTGATATCGAATAGGCGCTGCATGACCTTGAAACTGTCATAATGATTCTGTTGGATAATCGCAGTAAGGTTTTTTTAAGATAGTCGAACATAGTCGAAAAGAGTACTTTCCAGAGCAAATTATGTTGTATTCTGGTGCACATCCTTTGATGTTGGATTAAGTAGCATTTCATGGCTTGGGCACAAAAGAATAAAATGTAAATAAATACCCATTTCAGATCTAGACTTCAATTGAGTCTAGATCAACGGAGTGGTTGACTCAAAAGTTCTTGCAGTTGACGTTTCTACTAGAACATCAACTCGGTGAGATCACAACACTTGTTCTAGCGGTGTTGACTGGAGGGGAGTCTTATGATGTTTTTGTGGATAGTGCTGTTCTATATTTCTTGTAATTGGTGTAAGGTTGTATTGCATGTTTTTTGCGTATTTGGCAATCCGGCAAAGGAAAAATTATAGACATGCCATGAAGTTTTGATTTAAGCTCCAAGAATAGGAGGAAAGGTGGAATCTCCTCCTTGATTACCTTTGTTGCACTTTCAGAATTTGACATGACCAGGCCTCTCTAAATACGGCAAATACGGAACTCGAGAGTCTGATTGCCGCATTTTGTTTTCAGAAAGTTACTTCTTTCCAACAAAAAAGGCTTTGTTATTTAGTTTACTTTGCTAGAGTAACTAAGGTACTCACTCAGCTAAAACTTTGCGGTGACCGTTTGTGACAATATCTTTGTTGATCTAGTTCGCTTTACTAGAGAAACTAATTATAAAACTCAGCTAAAACTTTGACCGTTTGTGACACCTAGATCAACAAATTCTTTGTTGATGCAGGTGGTTTTATTGAAAAAACTAAGGGAATTACTCAACTAAAACTTTGCGGTGACACGTGATGACTTAAACCAAGCAAGTTCAAGTATTTTGTCTCCTTGCTTACTTTAGTAACTTTTAGCTTTGAAAACACTAGAATTTATTCAACTAGTTCTAAAATATCAAGAACTCTCAAACTTTCTTGGGAAGAAAAGTACATAGATTAAATAATGAAAGAACACGAACAGCTTTTGGTTTTTTTGAAACGAGAATATTATGAAATCGATGTTCTCTGTTTACAAGAATCTGTTGACTAAACAATCTGATTCCAGGTATTAAGAATAGATTTCTTCAACTGGTACAATTCTATGTGCAAGTTGAATCTGACATTAACGACTTGAGGCACAGATATCGCGGTGACGAGATAAGCACGAATGACAATGACACAGATACAATACCATACATTCTACAATTGCATCAAATTCAAACTTGAGCAAATCTGTAAAAGGCTCTGAAGAGAACGAAAGATAAAGTTGGATGCTCAACCACTCGACCAGAGGGAGAGCGCTTTACGATTGAAAGACTTGAGCTCTCGAACCAATAGCGGATAGGAAAAATACAGATTTTTTATTGACTTGTTGCGCGGCTCGGTGAAATTTTATGGAATTTTATGGAAGATTAGTTTGACACTGCAAAGGTGTGGAGAGTGATTTCTCAGTGCTGAAATGAAAAAATTCTATTCACATATAAAAAATAACACCATCTCTCTTGAAGATATATTACATTGCCGTCAAGTTTGAACAAAAACATGAGAAATTTCTGTCAAGTTCTGTATATTCCATATTTTGATTTAAGAATTATCCTTATTTTGTTGAGATATGGAACATACGGAATCCGCACTATCCGACATGATCAAGAGATTTGGCAGAATTTTTTTTAGATAGACATTATTTTAATAGAGGAGCAATTTGCTATGATCTCAATAAATTTGCGGGCGGATGCTGACTCATTTCATCACATACATCATTGGGATCAAGTTTGCAAGTATTGCAATCTTGCATACTTCAAACTTGCAATAAATGAGCATGTGAAGGAGGCTTGAATGAAAGGTAATAGACACTAAATAGACATGACAAGGTAATAGACACTAAATAGAATGTGATTAATGCTAAATTCTAAGACAAGCTCTTTACACATAAGTGAACAATATTCGACTAATGCAAGATGGCATGGGTAGGATTAGTAGGTGGTTGTTGGTTATTATGCGACAACATACTTTAGCATTTGAACTGAAGAAGATGAAGTTGATTTTATTTCCAAATCAGGTTAATACTACACTGCATGTACTGGTGTGACAAAAGGAGTTTTGAAATTGTCTCAATATCCTAAGTACAAAGTCAGATTGTGTAGATCCAGACTTTAGTGAATATTTTATTGGAGGTCGTAACATCTACAATAATGTATGTCTTGTGAATTCTTGCGTTGTGGTCTTTTGGTAATGATATTCTGGCAAACAAAACCCATGACAAGGAGCGTGATTGGATTCTCCAAAAAGCAAAGAATTTCAAAAGGATCTGAAATGCTAAGGTTGTGGAAGGATGGGCGGATACGTCTGATACTATATATTTTGGAAACAATCAAGTTGATTTGTCATGTTCCAGTGAAGTTGGAACATTTTAGAGTAAAGCGCACACTTAGCTCACTCCAAGAACTGTATTGTTGGGGTGGAATGCAAACTAATGTTTAAAAATTTGTAGCAGAGTGCATTGTGTCTGAAATGATTAGAGCATCATTTAATGCTCTCACATCGCAACTGCATCCACTATCAATTATGGACTTAGTCTATACATGGAGTTTGGACTTTGTAGTATCTTTGATGGTGATATCACAACACAAGGTTTACACACTGGTTATGATGAAGCATTTTTCCAAGTGAATTGAGTTGATGGCATTACAAGATAAGTAGCTTATATAAGGTTGTAGCTTATGCGTTATTAGATATGATGCTTGGCCACTTTGTAACTCCAACGGAGATGTTGAATTATTAAGGTACATAATTTTTAGGGTGATTTTTAAAGTCTACTCAATAAATGCCTAATTGATTGCCCCACCACATTGCGGTATCATCAAGAAGCAAATGATTTGGCCAAAAAAATTGTGTAGACTGTGAGGAAAACATTTCACAAGTATGGCTTGCAGATTATATATGTAAGTGATTAGGACTTGCAATTATCTTGGTTGACTATGGATTAGTAATTCAGCAAGCAGACCTCCTTTCCACCATACATGTTGCTATTTAATAGAAAGTCTGAGTTACTTGAAGCGATCCGAAGGAAGTCTAGTGGGATAGTGCAGTTTGACAACTAGTATGAGTGGATATAAGTGTGTTTTAAGAGGTTAGAACTAATCCGTAGGGTAATGTTCATGGCATTTCAAAACTTGGCTATTGCTAAGCATTGAGGTAAACTTAGATATGTTACCTTCCGTGGAGGAGGTTGCAAGCCTAGTATTAGAAGATTTGCTCTGGTTGATTTTGTATACTTGCAGCAAACTCCTCCTACTACCTTGGATTTGACTACAAAGCGCATTATATCGAGGATGCATAAAGTTTTTTTATATGGATAGCTCATGTTGGTAGACTATGACAGTATGGTGTGAAATGACATATTCCAAATGAGAATGACACAGTTGATCCAAGTATAGTAGTAGTGTTTGCAGGATTGAAATATGTGCGTTGTGGACTAGCTAGCGGTACCGCCATAATGTTGATTTGTGATAATTTCTTGCAAAGTTGGCAAATGTTTGACGCCATCAATTCAGAAGTGATTTTGTACTAGGTGTAAATTAGTTCAAACTAATATTTTATTTTCACTTGAGTAGTGCGTACTTTATGTCTAGTTAGAGTTAGTGGGATATAATTGCCAGCTAGTGGGGGCGATTGGATGTTCATTTGAGTATGCACATGATTTTATATACTTCCTTAGCTTGTATCATGGTTGAAATCGCAATGATAGCAATGTATGATGATAGATAATGTATGTAACTTGACAGTTGTCATGCGCATAATGTATATGCGCATGACAACTGTCAAGTTATTCCACGTTAGGGTTGTGATTATCTCAACCTTGTAAAAATAGAAAAAATTGCAGATCAATGGACTAAAAATTAACAAAATGGCAAGGGAGTCAATTGCTAGATTTGAAACTGCAATTTGTAGGAGTTGTGACCGTCTTCGTAAGATCCAACCAGCTGTACTAGTAGCTAATCAAAGTTTACGATTATATAATTTTTGTGATCAGTATGGGATTCAAAGTATTACTGAAGAAGTTAACACGAATTCTTTACTTACCAAGTTGAGACAATTTCTTGGTATGATGGGATGCTATCAACGATTCATCTTCTCTATTTCCAACAAAGTTCATGTTTCGACAATCTACATTATAAAAGAGACAAAATAAGATCTCATATGTAAGTACAAAGAAGCTAAGTTGTTGTTTGATGTTTTTAAGAAGGAATTGATGACAAGTCTAACTTTAGCTTAACCGGATTCAACTAAACCTTCAACTTCTCTTGAGCTGTTACTAAGGCAAAAGTTGAAAAGAAGAAAATTGCAGGGATAAATAGACTGGTGGCAGTTGATATGGAAACACCAGATCCATCATAAATCACTCCTTTAATCAAAAGTCCATAATCTATAGAGGTTTTGAAAGAGGCGACCAATTAGTGAACACTGCTGATGATACATGATGTTTCACTTTTGGTACTGAAGTGGCTTTAAAATTTAAGAGTAGCGAAGAGAAGAGGCTAGCATTAGGTTTGGAGGCCGTGGAACAAAATCAGGTTGTGGAGCTAGAAGCAAACATTGATGCATCCAGTGAGACATCTTATGATGCAATCAAGAGATTTATTTTCAAATTAGCCAAGATTCATACCGATGTTCTATTGCGTTCTAGAACGGAAAAAAATAAAATATATCTCTATTTTTTTCAACCTGTATTGATGGGTCAATCCTGTCCATGATGTATGACGCTAATCATGAAGAACACAAAGTTTCCATATAAGTATATTTACGCAATATAAGTAGCTTATAAGTAAGGAAAAAACTATGCATTTGACCTTGAGGAAGAGGTTGTTGCATCCAATGAGGTTCAAACCAAGGGAGTTGTTGTGAATGAGCAATATGCTTTTAAATATCCAAAGGATCACTCAGATTTCTGGACTGGACTGGACACTTCGGAACGAAGTCCCTCATACGCCGCGGACGTCACCCTTGACTCACACCAAGCGCAGAGAGTACAGGCCCGACTGAGAACTTAACTGAGACACAATCCAGTAACACCCACACACAACCTGAATTGCAAACCAAGGCTTACACGAAGTAACAAAACTTCACTTTGGCATT